AGGGAGCCTTGTGCCCACGAGGGGGCGCTGCAGGGTCGTGTCTGGGCAGCTCAGAAACGAGCGAGCCTGATCAAGGTGGCCACACCTGGAAAGACAGCGCCAGGCCAGGGCCAGGCATGGGCACGACTTCCTTCCCTCGCCCTAACGAGGCCCCCAGCCCAGCCCATACCTGTGGGAGACCACGGCTGACCTCTACTGGGCATTGAGAGAGTGTCTGTCGCTCATACATTTGGAAGCAGATCATTTACGAGCAGAGCACTTCATGATTCCTTATGTGATTTCACTGCGTTCTAAAAAACAGTTTGTGTCCCTGTGTTGGAGAGGACAGGTGTCTCAGAGACATAGGTTGGAGTTCTAACCCCGTGCCAACAACTAACTGACTGGGGGTTCATCCATTCACACAACAAACATTTATTTGAACACCTACTATGTGCCTGACACTTTGCTAATTACTCTAGGGGATAGCGAGGTGACCCACACAAGATGTGACCTTACCCTTGTGTAGTTCTTGACCAGTTGGGACACAGGCAAGGAGAGGTAATTGCAGCCGTGTAGGGTGAAGACTGTAAGGCAGCACATGGTGTGGGGTGGGCCAAGGAGGGCTTCCTGAAGAAGGTGTTGCTTGACTGGGACTCAGGACAAGTGTTGTTAACCAGGACTGTGAGGGAGGAGGCCTTGAAGACTAGAGACAAGGTATGAGACTGCCTGGCAGCTCTGGGAACTGCAGGGGTTCAGGATGTCTGGAGAGTGGCATGCCAGGGCAAAGGGGCGGGACTTGCAGACCGAAAGTCTGGAGGAAAGAGTCCTGTTCCTGTTGGCCTGCCAGCGCCCTGGCTGGCTGTGAAGAGCAGACTGGAGATGTGGGAGATGGCAAGCAGGAAGTCAAGGTTGCTGGAGGCTACTGCAGCCCAGGAAGAAGAGGGGGAGATGACGATTGGGTAATGGGGTGAGACAGGAGCCACTGGTGTGAGAGGGATGACAGGGATGAGATCTGGGGCTGACTGGGTGAGGGAGAACAGTGAAGGGTTCCTGCCTGATGGAGGCCTTCACCCACACGGAGATCAAGTCAAGAGACACACACGGGAGGCAACAGTGTGTGCAGCTTTGAGGTCGTGGTGTTAAAAGAGCCTGTGAGTCAGCCAAGCAGAGATGCCTGGGAGGTGTGTGAGTCTGCGTGCTAGGAGCTGTCGCCTTGTCCCTAGCAGCCACAGGCATCGCACACTCGCAGGGAGTACCGAGTAAGGAGACCGTGACAGCATCACAGAAGGAAGAAGCACAAGAGTAGACAAGGACTGAGGGGTTTCTGAGTACATTTTATTTAGTTTAGACAGAGACAGGGTGTTGCTATGTTGCCCAGGCTGGTCTCGAACTCCTGGCCTCAAGTAATCCTCCCGCCTCAGCCTCCAGAGTACTGGGATTACAGGTGCGAGCCACCACGCCCAGCCAGAGACTGAGGGTTGTTTTGTTTTTTTGTTTTGAGTTGGAGTCTCACTCTGTCTCCCAGGCTGGAGGGCAGTGGCACGCTCCCAGCCACTGTGCCTGGCCTGCGACTGAGGGTTTTTTGTTTTTTTTTTTTTGAGTTGGAGTCTCACTCTGTCACTCAGACTGGAGTGCAGTGGCTGCTCCCGGCCACCGCAGCCTCGACCTGCTGGGCTCCGGCGATCCTTCCGCCTCAGCCTTCCAAGTAGCTGGAACAACAGGCGCACACTACCACACTTGGCTAATTTTTTGATTTATTGTAGAGATGAGGTCTCACCAAGTTGCTCAGGCGGGTCTTGAACCCACGGGCTCAGGCAATCCACTCACCTCAGCCTCCCAAAGCGCGGGATTACAGGCTGAGCCACCAAGCCCGGTTGAGACCGAGGGTTTTAAGAAGCAGAAGAAGTGATCAGAGTTGAGTCTGGAAAAGATTGCTCTGGCTAAAGAGTGCAGAATGGGATGGAGAGGGAGAAACCACATGCATGAACTGGGCACCCAGGAGGAAGAGCAGAATCCCCCCAGGGGGAGGAGCCTGATGTCTGTTGCCAAGCCGGTTACTTGTTGCCCAGCTCACAGATTCATACGAGGCTCACATGGGGCTGAGACAATGACGAGCACCGCACTCAAGAGGGAGACATGATTGTCCTCCCATACAAAATGCCTTCTTTTTTTTTTTTTTTGAGTTGGAGTCTTACTCTCACCCAGACTGGAGTGCAGTGGCGGCTCCCGGCCACCGCAACCTCGACCTGCTGGGCTCCGGCGATCCTTCAGCCTCAACCTTCCAAGGAGTTGGAACTACAGGCGCGCACTACCACGCCCGGCTAATTTTTTTATTTATTGTAGAGGTGAGGTCTCGCCAAGTTGCCCAGGTGGGTCTCGAACCCACGGGCTTAGGCAATCCACTCACCTCAGCCTCCCAAAGCACGGGATTACAGGCTGAGCCACCCAGCCAGCTCAGAATGCCTTCTTGATGGCGGGATCCTCTCTTTGCAGGGCTGACCATTCTGTTGCCTGATCTCTCTGTTTTAAAACATTTTAAATTCATTGCCAACATTTAAAATTCTGAAGATGTTGCATGAAATTATGATTTCTGCCTTTTCTCAGAAAAAGCATGTGCTCTCACAACAGTCACCTTGCCTTCTTGTGTGGCAACACTGCGGGCGCTGAGTAACAGCTACTGTCTTTAGATGGGGGGGACTCACTCTTTGTCACAGTCCCCACCACCCCCTACTGCCTCCCTGACAGGAAGTGTTATTTGCCACTTACCATCCAGTAGAGCTAGTATTTTCTTACACTAGGCCTGCTTCCCTCATTTCCATTACTTATTGGCATTAGTTTGTGACTCCTCCGGGGGCTTAAGGCACATGGGTGGTTTTATATGAGGGATTGGTAGAAGTGCCTCTGTAAAATGATACCCCAAAACTCAGTCTGTTTTTCATGCATACCTTCTCAGGCAGTGCCTTTCCATCTGAGCCACAGGCTCTTCAAAAGTGTTTAACAATTATATTTATTTTTGAACAACCTTTGTTTAAGAATCCTAATTTTTAAAAAATTCATACACACAGTCCAGGTGCAGTGGCTCACGCCTGTAATCTCAGCACTTTAGGAGGCTGAGGAGGGAGAATTGCTTGAGCCTAGGAATTTGAGACCAGCCTGGACAACATAGTGAAATTTCATCTCTATAAAAAATAAAAATAAAAAATTAGCCAGGCATGGTGGCGCTCGCAGCTAGTCCCAGCTACTCAGGATGCTGAAACGGAAGGATCACCTGAGCCCTGGAGGTCAAGGCCACCATGAGCTGTGATCGTTATGACCATGCCACTGTATTCCAGCCTGGACAACAGAGTTAGACCCCAACTAAAAAAAAAAAAAAAAAAATTCACACATGCACGAAAATAATTCACTGTCTATGACAAAACATTGGTTGTGCCTCCGGGTTAGATTATTTTGAGAATGCCACAGAAATATATTTGTCATTGCTGTCCAGCTGAAGAGTAGGTTGACAGTGCAAGGCTAGTGGCTTTAAAAGTGCTACCGTTGCCAGGTTTTGTGACTCAAGCCTGTAATCCCAGCACTTTGGGAGGCTGAGGCAAGAGGACTGCCTGAGCCCGCGGGTTCAAGACCAGCCTGGGCAACTTGGCAAGACCTCGTCTCTACAATACATAAAAAAATGAGCTGGGCATGGTGGCACATGCGTGTAATTCCAGCTACTTGGAAGGCTGAGGTGGAAGGACTGCCTGAGCCCGGCAGGTCAAGGCTACAGTGGCCCTGAGCGTGCCCCTGCACTCCAGCCTGGGCAACAGTGAGACTCCAACTCAAAAAAAAAAGTGCTACCGTCTGCCACTAATCTTTGTCAAGACTTTCCCAGTACTGACTGTTAAGTCAGAAGCTGGCATCTGACTGCAAATGGCAATCACAACCGCCATTTCAAATTTCTGACGCTATGTTAGAAACCAAGACCCCAGGGCTATGAGGGGAAAGAGGAACTGGACAGATAGAAGGAAAGAGTGGAAGACATTTTTCCCTTGGGAAGACTTTCACTATATATCTTTCTATGCTTCTGATTTTTGAAACATATAAATACATAGCATTAACTACTGTACCCTTTTTAAAAACTCTTACCTGATTCCTGGCAGCCACTCGTCTATTCGTCATCTCTATTTTTTATTTCAAAATGGTTAGCCTACGGTACATTTTAATACATTAATAATACTGTCCATTATTCTAAAAGTAAATTAAAACTTTCATTGTTCAACTTTACAATAAACCAATGATTACTTAAGGATTCGTTGTGATGAGAAAGCGTTTCGGTGAGGATTTCTTTTGAAGGCAGACTTGGCTTTTAAAAAACAAAAATCGAGGCCAGGCACGGTGACACGCCTGCCATCCCAGCACTTTGGGAGGCCGAGGCGGGAGAACTGCTTGAGCCCAGGAGTTTAAGACCAGCCTGGACCTGGTCTCTACAAAAAGTAAAAAATAAATTAGCTGGGTGTGGTGGCGCCGGCGCCTTAGTCCCGGCTACTTGGGAGGCTGAGACGAGAGGACTGTCTGAGCCCAGGAGGTCGAAGCTGCGGAGAGCCATGATCGTGCCACTGCACACCAACCGGGGAGAGAGAGTGACACCCCTACTCAAAACAAAAAATGTAAAGCCAATAAGAAAACTCTCCTTGCCACACCCCCAACAAGGTGTGCTGAGCGTGCTACAGTGAGACCGCCTCTCCAGCAGGTGGCACTGCAGGCACTGATCGCACCTCCCCGCAGCACCCTTTCTCTCGGCAATGGCGGGTGATGGCGGGGTCTTTTCTTTGCAGGGCTGGCCATTTTGATGCCTGATCTCAGGTGCACACCTGTGTCCGCACCGCGCGGGAGCTCTGCCTAGCGAAGGGCTAGAGAAAACAACTGCGCTTTCTATGTACCCTTCCGTGCGGGCTGGGGAGGTAACCACGGCGTGAAAGACGCAGGCCAGAGGATAATTCGCTCGCCTGGCGACAGGCGCAGCAGCAGGCAGCCCCGGGGCAGGCGGGGTCCTGACCGAGAGGCGAGCCGGCGGCCTGAGGCGACTGACTGAGCAGTGCACCCGGGGAGCCAAGAGTTGCGGCGGAGCAAGCGGGCCCCGAGCTGACAGATACGCGGCGCGGCTGGAACGGCGAGCGAGCGGACGGAGGAGTGCGGGGTGCAACCATGATCACCTCAGCCGGTGAGTGCGGCCCGGGGCCAGCGACGAGAGGGAGGTGCCGCCGCCGCGCCGGGTTTTAGCTGAGTCAGGGCGGGTGACTGGGCACCTCCTGGCGGAACGCCGGCCCGTGCAGCTCCCCTCTGCCCAAGGCTCACCCGCCCCCGGGCCGGGGTGGGAGTCTGGTCGTCTGGCCAGGCCTCTGCGGGCCCCGCGGGTCCTTCTCGCTTGAAGGAATCCAGCCCGCTCACCCCCTTGGCATCCCTTCCCAGCCACACCCCCGTGCCGGGACCTGGGCCTTCTCCGGACCCCGGCGGTGGGGTCCTTTTTTGTGTCCCTTCCATTCTTGACCGCGTGAGGTCATCCAACCCCAGTCCTTCCCCGCAGGTGGGTGGGGTGAGATGGGCCCCCTCTGCGACAGGACAGGAAGCCTTGCTGCTGCATGAGTGCTTCTGCACCTGGCCGAGCTCCGTCCTCCTTAGAGAGAACTCCGAAATGAGGTTTGAGCTGGGTCGTTTCGGGGTCCGACCCAAGGGTCCTCAGTGAAAGCTCCCAGAGAACTTTTGTGTGCGGTGAGGACACTGAAGATCGCTTCTACTGAGAACCTACTTAGGGTTTCGAGGTTAGGTGCTCAGTTGACATACTGCGTTCAAGAAAGAACTGATGGGTCTGCGGAGCAGGTGTCATACGCTTGACCCCTTGTAGAGGTAGATTCGTGTAGTGACATTTGAAATGGGATAAGCTGTAGCGATCGTTGCCAGCGGAGAGTTTTTAGTTCCTTACTGCAAGCTGATGTGCATGTAGCTGTCCACAGCCTTGGTGCTTTTCTGTCTTGCCTGCTTACACACCCTTTTCTCCTCCTCTTACTCTGCACTCAAGCACTGTGTTGTAAAAACACACTGGTGATGAGAAGACCATAACCTATACGATAAAGAAGTCAAAATTTTATTATTATGAGGATTGGTTAAGGAAATTGAGAAGATGTTGGGAGACGTAGTCGTTATTTTCAGACCCTTGAAGAGCTGTCATCTGTATCTGGAATTAGTTTTTTGTCCCCACGGGATACAGCTGCTTGGAAGATGAGTTTTAGTTCAGTATAAGGAAGAGTTTTTCCAATTAGAGCTCCTTAAAGATAAGCCCTAAGTTTATTGCCACCCATAGGTTCACTCTATTTTATATCTATCCATTACCACTGTTTCTTTTAACTTGGCCCAAACCACCTTCTTCTCTTGCCTGGGTTACTCTATCAGCCTCAAAACTTTTGTTTTTCCACCATTCCTTCCATGTAGTCTATTCTTGTTGTAGTCAGAGTATGCTTTTTAAAACTTTAGTTACATGATACTTCTTTGCTAAAAACCCACCATTATGTTTAGAGTAAAATCCATATTCCTTTTTTTTTTTTTGAGTTGGAGTCTCACTTGGTCACCCAGACGGGAGTGCAGTGGCCGCTCCCGGCCACCGCAGCCTCGAACTGCTGGGCTCCCGCGATCCTTCCGCCTCAGCCTTCCCAGTAGCCGGAATTACAGGCATGCGCTACCACGCCTGGCTAATTTTTTGATTTATTGTAGAGATGAGGTCTCGCTGCCCAGGCAGGTCTCGAACCCGCGGGCTCAGGCAGTCCACTCACCTCAGCCTCCCAAAGGCGTGGGATTACAGGCTGAACCACTGAGCCTGGCTAAAATCCATACTCTTAACCAAAGACCTAAATGATCTGATTCCTGCCTTGTCTTTTAGTACCGTTTTACTCACTCACTACACACACCCTAATCACACTGACCTTCTTTTTGTTCCTTGAATGTGTCAATTTCTCTCTCCTATCTCAGGGCCCTTGCACATCCTATTGCCTTTCTGGACTTCAAGTTTTCCCTTAGCTTTTCAGTCTTTAGTCTCAACCCAAATGTAAGTCTTCCCTGACCACTCAATTAAAATATGCTGACTTGCCTTCACAATTCTATGATTTCTTTATTTGTTCATTTTCCTGATTACTGTTCTCTCCCTGGTAGAATTTTGGGCAGGAACTTGTTTTCACAGTTCTTAGAACACTGCTGTGCACATGGCAGAAGTTTTAAGTACACCTTGATGAAGTGATCAGCCAGTAAAATCAATTAATCAGTCCCTTGAATTTTTAAAGTAGAGACCGAAAAAGCACTTGGTAGGAATATAATAAACTTTAAACCTCTTTAGGATGTCAGGACTAATTGTTTTTGAAATCTTACCCTGAGATTCTGTGATGATTTTTTAGTGTATATTTATTATTGTCATTTAAGTTTATTGAATTGTCATCTGCTCCAAGCGTTTTGTCACTTTGTTTCCTGTCCTATGGCTCATGTTGGCTTAGAATCTTTCCCAGGGCCGGGCTTGGTGACTCAGCCTGTAATCCTGCACCTTGGGAGGCTGAGGTGAGTGAATTACCTGAGCCCGCGGGTTCTGAGACCCGCCTGGGCAACTTGGCGAGACCTCATCTCTACAATAAATCAAAAATCACCCAGGCGTGGTAGCGTGCCTCTGTAGTTCCAGCTACTTGGAAGGCTGAGACGGAAGGATCGCCAGAGCCCAGCAGGTCGAGGCTGTAGTGGCCGCTCTCTTGGCCACTGCACTCCAGTCTGGACGACAGAGTGAGACTACAACTCAAAAAAAAAGTAAAGACTCTTTCCCAGATACTAAACAGGCCAGTGTTAATGGTTCTGGTATGGATTAGTCAGTTTATCAGTCAGTTTATTTTAAAAATAAATCTATTTTTTTCACCAGGTACTTTCTAGGCACGAAGAACACAGTGGTAAATAAGAGGTTAACATGTACTGCTGGTTTTTTTCGAAAGACTTGACTATGAAAGAGAGTGGAGAGATAGAGATAGGTGCTTACTGGAGAGTGATGTGAAATTGTGTGGGTTGGTGTTTTTTTTGTTTTCTTTTTTAATGTAATGTAGGCACAAAAAGGAAAGTTGTGCTAAAAAGCTTTAAAACAGTCTCCCAGCCCACTCTTCCCATCTTGATCCACAGAAGCAACCATTTTCAACTTTTAAACTTTGTCTTCTGGAACATACCTGCATATTTACAAATAGTATGCAAATATTGTTGTAAATTGATTCATTCGTTTTATTTATTTACTTATTCTTAGAGATAGGGCCCAAGCTGGAGTGTGGCAGTGTGCTTATCGCTCACTGCAGCTTCGAACTCCTGTGCTCAAGCAATCCTCCCAGCAGTCTCCCAAGTAGCTAGGACTACAGGTGTGTGCCACTACTCCTGGCTATTTATTTATTTTTTTTTTGTAGATACTGAGTCTTGCTGTGTTGCCTACGCTGGTGGCACACTCCTGTCCTCAAATGATCCTCGCACCTCCCAAAGTACTGGAATTACAGGCATGAGTCATAGCACTTGGCCTGATTTAACAATTTCAGACAATATCTACTGAGTTCCTATTATGGCATAAAAAAGTTTTAGCCGTTCGCAATTCCTCCCTCATCCAGCGGAGAGTTCTGTTTTGAAGATGAGAAATATTAGTGTGTAGAGTGTTTGATTTAGTTCTGGTTCATTGGTAAAGGCTAACTTCTGTTTTTGTTTTTTGTTTTTTTTGAGTCGGAGTCTCACTCTGTTGCCCAGGCTGGAGTGCAATGGCATGCTTATGGTCAACACAGCCTCGACCTGCTGGGCTCAGGCAATCCTTCCACCTCAGCCTTCCAAGTAACTGGAACCACAGGCATGCTCCACCATGCCCGGCTGATTTTTTTATTTATTGTAGGTACAGGGTCTCGCTATGTTGCTCAGGCTAGTCTCGAACCCCTTAGTTCGGGTAATCCTCTCGTCTCCACCTCCCAAAGTGCTAGAATTACAGGCATGAGCAATCACGCCGGCTAAAGGCTAACTTTCTAATCCTGGACAACTGTGTAATAAATTAGTCATAAATGAAAACAACTGGAGAAGATAAAAATCCATCTCTTTTGGTAAAAGCCATTGAAACACAGCATTGAACAATGATAGGTAACCAGTAGTATGTTTACTATTAAGTGTTGCTATTTATCATCTATTGTACAGTTAAAGCATTCTGGTCTATCATCTACTCCACATCACTGGGTTGCAATGTTGTTTTTTCACTGACTGAATTTTTTAATTTATCTGTTCCCCATGCTGTCTGTTCTAGGTTTGTCATACCAACCTAGAGTACCGATAAGTTCTTTTTATCTGCTCTTCAGATTTTGAGATAGTTGTATGTCTTAGTTTTGCTTGGTAAAAATCTGAATCCTTTCCAGTATGGCTCCCTAAAGACTGCTTAAACTATTTGGCAAACTACAAATGGCTACATCTAACTAAAGTTGCCTTGACACTTTTTAACCAAAACAGTTTTGTTTTGTTTTGTTTTTGAGTTGGAGTGTCACTTTTGTTGCCCAGGCTGGAATGCAATGGCACGCGCACGGTCACTGGCACGCACACGGTCACTGCAGCCTCAACTTACTGGTCTTAGGTGATCCTTCCGCCTCAGCCAAATCAGTTTTAACTAATGTTTCAGAATGACTTTAAGACCCACATGGAAAACATATTTGAGAGATAGTTTGGTTTCCTTTGTGATCTAAGGACAGCAGTATCCTATATATTTTTTTCCAATAATCCTTTGAACATATGATATTTCAAGGTAATTTCTTTTGGCGAAGACAGTTATTTCTTTTATTCTCCTATGCTAGTGGTATCACCTCGGGGCTAAGAGCAGGCGTATGGGAAACACTGTGCTTGGGTAATTGAATTCAGAATGAGTAAAATTGCTCATTATTTAGTAAAACCTTTTAGTTACTTGTGATAAGAAGAAGGTACCTTAAATGAAATATTTCACCCTATTGAGTTAATGACTGAACAGTCTTTTTTTTGGTAAATAATTGTATAACTTTGTTTCTATTAATAATTTCATTCTAAAATTGTATGGGAAAATTTCTCATTTGGGTTAGTAAATTAGGCTAGTGATTCTCAAACTACAGTGAGCAAAAGAGACACAGGGAAGGCTATAGCCTTGTTACTGGGCCCCAGCCCCATGAATTCTGATTCAGTAGGTTTGGATAGGGCCAAGAATTTATATTTCTGACAAGTTCCCAGGTAATGCTAATGCTGTTGGCCCAGAGACCACACTTTGAAAACCATTGAATTAAGTAAATTATGATTTGTGGTGTCATGAGGGTTTGCTAACATGGTTAAGTCTTAAACTTCAAAATATTGTATAAACCTTTACAGTTTTAAAGAAAAAAATCATTCCCCTAGTGAATCACCCCCCTGTAAAAAAAAATATTTATTTTTTCTAACCATTTTACATTTTTAAGTAGGCGTTCATTTCCATCTTAGTGAGTGTATGTTTCATAATCATGATATACCTTTTGTCTTATAGCTGGAATTATTTCTCTTCTGGATGAAGAAGAACCACAACTTAAGGTATGAGTTTAAGAAAAAGTAACTAGGCTTAGTATAAATACTGTGGAGCTTTCTGAATTTAGTGATATCTGTAAATCTGCCATCATTTAAAGTAGGTATCCTACCCAGCTTGAACCCAGTCATTAAAATCTAGCTAGAGAGGATAGTATTTTGCCAATCACAGTTGGTTTCCCTTGAGTTTAACAAAACTAAGACAAATAAACTTCAATATGGCACTTGAATAACCCCCTACTCTCTTTTTCAACAGAAAGTCCAAAAAATTGTTTTCTTCTGTTTCACATATTTAAAGTTATTTGATGGAAATTTGAAATGCACTTAAAGTAGCTCTAGAAACCTGAGTCTATTACATCTAAACTAGAAACCTAGAGTCAATCTAATATATTGAAAGGTGAGAAATCTTTATTATGATAAGGAATGACATTATATAGTCAGTCTGATGTTTTATGATTGAAAACAGAAAGGAATTGTGTAAACCCAAGAGAAAGTATAAGTTGGTAAATGTTTCTGTTTCATAGATTAAAAGTTTTAGGAAATATTACTGAGGATTTGGCTATTGATTTGTTGCAAACTTTTTTATGAAGGAAGTATAATGTTAAGTCTACTTCAAAATAGAATTTTGGTTTTATCTTTTGCAGGAATTTGCACTACACAAATTGAATGCAGTTGTCAATGACTTCTGGGCAGAAATTTCTGAATCCGTTGACAAAATGTAAGAAATTATTTTTATAGGTTGGAATAAGGTGGGTAAACTTTGTGGATATGGGTCTTGTAGCTTATTAATTATTTAGAAATTTGCTGTTGCTAATTTGTGGTTTGAATATTTACATTTTGAATTTTTAAAGGAAATCACAGTTTGAACTAGGCCTGTACTTCCTAATTTCTTTCAGAGAAGTCTTGTATGAAGATGAAGGTTTCCGGAGCCGGCAGTTTGCAGCCTTAGTGGCATCTAAAGTATTTTATCACCTGGGGGCTTTTGAGGAGTCTCTGAATTATGCCCTCGGAGCAGGTGACCTCTTCAATGTCAATGATAACTCTGAATATGTGGAGACTATTATAGGTAATTAGCTTTCATCTGGTAAGGCTTTATCTTGTCGGCCTCTCTCTTACTCTGGGGTATATAGCATTTTTTTCCCCTGAATTTGATGCAGCCAGATTTCATTTTAGCTGAAAGTTCATAATCTTTCTGTGATAATTTTATGCAGGTTAACATTTTAGATCTTCCCTCCAACCAAGTGCTAGTTATCTCCGTAGTTATGATTATCCCTAACCCATAAGCTTACTGCTAGATGAAAAGATTAAATCGGATTATTATGAGTAACATGAAATTATATCAATTTATGTAGTTGTTTCTAGTACAAGAAATCATTGAGTATCTGCATTGTACTAGACACGATGTTAGTCACTCTGTATATCATGGTTTTTTCCCACAACTACCCTATGAGGAAGGAGCTAACCCTGTTTTACAAATGAGAAAACTTGTGTTTTGAGGTAGCTATTAAATAAGAGGGTCAGAATTTAAAATCCAGGTTTACTCTAACACTCTTATATTATTTCTACTAGTAAGCATTGTTTTCTTATTTTTGTATTTTTGAAGTGAGGAAGTAACACACAGGCAAGACTTTGACTTCATCTCATATTTCAGCCAATTATAAGTTCAAACAATGTTCGTATGATTTTGTTCAAAGATTTTGTAACTAAAAAAATGCTTGAAAACTCCTAATCTAGTAGATGAAAGAGGGGAGAAATGTCTTTATGACTATCAGGCTTTGGATCAGTTAATAAGAGCTCAAGGGCAAGAGTGTACAGTATGGATATTTCACATTGCTGATTAAGAAGAGATCTGCATTATTCACCTGAACTTTTACAAGAAGAAAGTTGGCATTCTCTTTCTGAAGTTGGGAAGTGCTGCACAAGTTGGTTGAAAGAGATACTTTCAAATGCCCCTAGGATTCTGTGTTCACATTTTAAAAATTCTTGCAGGGATGATATGAAAATATTCCAAGTAACTTTATTGCTGTTGGGAGCTCATTGAATTGGGCATTTCATCTGTGAATCCTATGGGAAGAACTGGTGGGGTTTTTTTTGTTTTGTTTTTAGATTGGAAAAATATAGTTTATTTAGAAAGTAAATTAGAGCGAGAGAGAGGAGATTCACCTTCCCAAGGTAGACCGGGGGCCAAAGCTCAAATTGATGGTTTTAAAGCAGCGGTCTCCGTCTCCAACCTTTTTGGCATCACAGACTGGTTTCATGGAAGACAGTTTTTCCACAGATGGCGCGGGGAGATGTGCAGTCAAACCTCACTGATAGTCACTGCCTCAGGTCCATCTCAGATCATTAGGCATTAGGTTCTCATAAAAAGCACACAACCTAGATCCCTTGCATGCAGAGTTCACAATAGGGTTCACGCTTCTGTGAAAATCTAATGCCGCTGCTGATCTGATGTAAGACGGAGCTATGCTCACCACTCACCTCCTGCTGTGCAGCCTGGTTCCTATGGTCCTTGGCCCAGGGGTTGGGGACCCTGTTTTAAAGAATAGACTATATCATTTGAAACTAGAGCACTTTCTTCACATTAAACCAGAAGTGGGAGATGAAGTACACTTACTTATCTTTTTAGGACTATTTGATGAATGTTTTTCAATGAATATTGATAATTTTTTTCCAGTCTACAAGTGGTTACATTGCCACCATTTTACAAGTGTGCTTTTATTCTTTTATTTATTTTTATTTATTTATTTATTTTAGTTGGAGTCTCACTCTATTGCCCAGGCTGGAGTGCAGTGGCATGCTCACGGCCACCACAGCTTTTATCTGCTGGGCTCGGGCAATCCTTCCACCTCAGCCTTCCAAGTAGCTGGAACTACAGGCATGCGTCACCATACCTGGCTTATTTATTTATTTATTTTATTTTTTTTTTGAGTTGGAACCTCACTCTGTCACCCAGATTGGAGTGCAGTGGCCATTCCCTGCCACCGCAGCCTTGACCTGCTGGGCTCTGGTGATTCTTCCACCTCAGTCTTCCGAGTAGCTGGAACTACAGGCGTGCGCTACCACGCCCGGCTAATTTTTTGATTTATTGTAGAGATGAGGTCTCGCCAAGTTGCTCAGGCGGGTCTCGAACCCGTGAGCTCAGACAATTCACTCACCTCAGCCTCCCAAGGCGCGGGATTATAGGCTGAGCCACTGAACCCGGCCCTGGCTTATTTTTTTATTTATTTCTAGAGATGAGGTCTCACCAAGTTGCCCAGGCTAGTCTTGAACCCCTGAGCTCAGGCAGTCCTCTTACCTCGGCTTCTCAAAGTGCTGTTTTTGCAGGCTTGAGCCACTGTACCCGGCCTACAAATGTGCTTTTAAACAGGACTGTTGGTATAAAGTACTGTGCGGTGGTAGATACCTTCCCTTTCTCTAAATGCTGTATCATCTTAGCTTGCAGAAGGTGATTTTTGATCAGTAGATCAGTTCTGTTTGTATCTTTGTGTAAAAGTGGAGTTCACCCTTCTAGTCATGTAGGTACATTTCTTAAAATGTCAGTGAGATTTTTTTAAATGTCCCTTATGAAAGGAAGTATACTATATAGAATTTGGATCTTCCCAGGATTTTCCTAGGATCTTACTGAATATCATAAACAGTACCTCCAGAAAATTTAAGACTAGTAAATTTCCCATTTATGATAAGACTTCAGTTGGGAGCTAGGTTTTAATTATAACATAAACCTGAAACATACTTATGACATAACCATACACATGATGAATGAGAGCATAGATCTCATTTGAAATCTGGGAGGTACTTTTTTTCCCTTCAGTTAAAGTAATCTAAGGAAAATTCCCCACATGTTCTAATTTTGTAGTTCCTCTCTGATGAGGTAGGGGTGATGTTTCCTCACTTAACTGTAGTTTGTTCAAAACGCTCATATTAGAGCTTAGTGAACATTTTCTACAGCTGGAATTATTTAAGGTCTGTTTTGTAACTGCCACTTTGTTCTTATTAAGAACCTGAACCTTCATGGTTCTTCCTGAATGGCATATATTCCAGTTTATAAAATTCATGCTTTCCTTCAGAATACAGATGTGTTTAACATGGGTTATCAAGTGGGCCAACAACTATTTATGCTAGTTCAACTTATTTTTTTTTCCTGGAGCTATAGTTTGCAACTGTTTTATCTTGTCAACTAATAAATAGGACATGATTTATTTCTCCTTGAAAGAGAGAGAAACCAGTGAATTATGGAGAGGATAACTACTGTATATGTCATTCCCTGTGGGTGGCTATTTACCTTCTTTATGAAGGTGTAAGGCTGAGGGAAATGCCCATTTTTGGTTGTACTTAGAAAGTTTAAGGCATGATTGCAAAGAAATATAACTATGTTGCAAACAAACGAGTGTTTCTTAGCAGATATACTATTGATATCCTTCAGCATGTCACCCCCCATCCACCCAAATCATTGTGAAGTATGTAAGCCAGATTTTGCACATATATTATTGCATGAATTTTCAGACACCCTACCTCACATTGAGACAACAAATATAGTCATGTGCCACATAATAGCATATTTACTGTACCTTTTCTATATTTAGATATGTTCAGACATATCTATTTAGCATTGTATTACAATTGCCTGCAGTATGCAGTACAGTAACATGCTTTACAGGTTTATAGTCTAGGAGCAATAGCCCATACCGTATAACCTAGGTGTATAATAAGCTATACCGCCTAGGTTTGTAGAAGTACACTCCATGGTGTTCACACAATAACGTTGCCTAATAATGCGTTTCCAGAGTATGTCCCTATTGTTAATGCATGACTGTTTTTCAACTGATCTGCTACCATTGCTGGAAAAGTTTTGGGAAATCTTAGGAATTATCGTTCAAACCTGTGGCACATTTCAGTTCAATTCACAATTGTTCTACAAAGATGATTTAAACAGTCCTTAATCTCAAAGTTTCATTAATGTGAAGAAGTCTAATATATTGCTATGTGCTAATTGCTATAATAGGCTTTTTAAAATATCCTCAATAATGGCAAATGTTTGTTTTGTGAAAGTAAAACAGCAGCTGTTTGTTAGGAACTCTTTTGAATAACAATCAGGTAGAGTATTATAGCTTTGATTAAAATAAAGTAACAATAAAGAAACAAAATAGAAACTTTTTTTTTTTTTAAAGACACAAGGTCTTGCTATGTTACCCAGGCTGGTCTTGAATTCCTGGGCACTAGCGATCCTCCCAACTCAGCCTCCTGAGTAGCTGGGAATACAGTCACCTGTCACCACACCTGGCTGATAGAAATGTTTTGAGCCGGGCTTGGTGGAGGCTTTGGGAGGCTGAGGTGAGTGGATTGCCTCAGCCCGCAGGTTCAAGACCCGCCTGGACAACTTGGTGAGACCTCATCTCTACAATAAATAAAAAAATTAGCTGGGCATGGTAGCGCGTGCCTGTAGTTCCAGCTACTTGGAAGGCTGAGGCGGAAGGATCGCCAGAGCCCAGCAGTTCGAGGCTGCAGTGGCTGGGAGTGGCCACTGCACTCCAGTCTGGGTGACAGTGAGACTCCAGCTCAAAAAAAAAAAAAATTTTTTTAATAATGTCAGCTTTATTGGAGTTGGTGTATTATCCTCCAGTGTAATCATTATGAAGAGAACAATATTAACTTGAATGTATCAGTTCTGGCATTTCAAAGTTTGCTTACTGATTGTTGTCATCCCATAAAGTATGTGATTATAAATGCAGTTGTTTTTCTGACAGTTTACTCCTATTTACAAGGTAATCAGAGGTATTTTATTTTCTCTATAGCAAAATGCATTGATCACTACACCAAACAGTGTGTGGAAAATGCAGATTTGCCTGAAGGAGAAAAAAAACCAATTGACCAGAGATTGGAAGGCATTGTGAATAAAATGTTCCAGCGATGTCTAGATGATCACAAGTATAAGCAGGCTATTGGCATTGCTCTGGAAACACGAAGACTAGACATCTTTGAGAAGACCATACTGGAGTCGGTAAGTAAAGGAAATCATTTTAGAGATTGTTGTTGGGGCATCAGCAAAGCAAGTTATTTAGACCGAAACTCTGATAGGTAGTAAAAAGAAAATCTAGTTTAGAAATAATAAAGTGCTCTTTTGCCAAATGTTTTATTTTTATATTTATGTATGAACCTCGGCTATGTTTTATGTCCATAGACTGTCTGCTTTAATCTTACCACATTTCTTTATTCCTTTAAGTCTTGTATGGGGATGTTGTTTTAATAACTTTTTAAGAAGACTATAGAAATAAACTATTATTTTGATGCATTTTTTTAAGGTTAAAACTGCAAACTAGATTCCTAGTTTGGGGGTGTTTTGCAATAATTAAGACAATTATAAGTCACCAACAAAAGTGGTCAGAAAGGTGCAAGGCAGAGTTAAACGAACATTGATCTGCAGGCCCACTTTGCTTCATGAGCTTGCTATTTCTCTCCATGAGCTAGCTCTCTACACTCCAGTCATTTGACCTCTTTTTATCTCCTAGATGAACCTAGCCCCGTTCCCCCTGCCAAAATTTTTTTCCATTCCTTTCTTGACCTGTTTCATTTCTGCTCATGATTTAGATCTCAGCTCAACTATTACTTGTTTGCAAAGAAACTATCACTTGTTTGTTTCTGTTGATCCTAGGAACTGGGAACAGTTCTGTGGTTAATCTCATGGAGCCCTGTATATTTCTGATGTCAGAACAGATCTTCTTAAAATTGTAAAGAAGGAAAGAGAAACTCATGCATAGTATATATAGGATTTGCTACTACCGTAGGTTTCAGCCATCCACTGGAGGTCTTGGCATATATGTCCCTTGGATAAGGGGCATTCCTGCTGTAGTGGCAAACAAGACCAACAAAGTTTCTGACCGAATAGAACAGTTCATTGGGGAAATCTAGAGGAAGCAAGCAAACAAGTATGTAAGGTAAAGGAGTGACCAATGTTTTTTGGTTTTTTTAAAAAGCAAAGTAAGAAGTGTACCTAACTTTGCATCCTGGTGCACATATGGCTATAACTTAAGTTATATGAAATAATACCTGCCCTTACCTATTGTGATATAACTCTAATATTTAAATTGTATTTCAGTTTTTTTTTAAATTGCAAGTCACTCCATTAAATTGATTTTGTTACACATTGGGAAGTCACAACTTACTTTTTGAGAAACACTCATGTAGCTTTCAGTATGTTTGTGTTGAAGAACTTTTATAGGATGGTATCTCAACTGTTGGGGGTGATTTTGAGAACCACAAGGTAAATACATAAAGTCTAGTTCAAAGTTTCCTCATAGGAAGAGCACTAGATTGATGTAAGTGTTCAATACCTGAGTCACTCAGCTGTGTACAGTTCTGCCACATGTTTCCTGGCTGGCAAGTGAGTAGAGATAGTAAGTCATGAGGGAGTCTAGTAGCAAGGGAGGAGGCAGAAAGACTTCAACAGACACAAGTGAAAAGCATAGCCATTCATTATATGGACAGTTGTACATATCTTTTTTGTAAGTATTAACAGCTTCACTCTATTATAGTATACTTTGTTCATATAGTGATGGTGCTGAGTGATCACAATATTGTTTTCAGTGCATTTTTTTCATGAAATATGAACATATGTAGTTCTTCTTTTAAGATTTTCACCTAAAATAGTTAAGAAATTTAAAGTTTTTATTGTTTAAGAGGTTTTAATCACTAGCTGCCTAGGTTGACTAAAGAAGTTAGATTAAAATAATTCGTTTTAAATTAACATAACATTTCAATAACCAGATTAAATGATCTCTTTCAGAATGATGTCCCAGGAATGTTAGCTTATAGCCTCAAGCTCTGCATGTCTTTAATGCAGAATAAACAGTTTCGGAATAAAGTACTAAGAGTTCTAGTTAAAATCTACATGAACTTGGAGAAACCTGATTTCATCAATGTTTGTCAGGTAATTACATTATATACCATTACATTGCTCTACATTGTGCTGGGCTGCATTATACCACATCACATTTTATTGCATTACGTTACCATAATGGCTTCATATGTATATCTCAGTTGATCTTCACAACAATCCTATGAAGATAAGGTATGTGACTTATATTCCTTTTTGTTGATAAGAATCTCACAACACTAAAAAGCTATTTTGTTATAATGCATTTTATGTGTTGTTTTTCATTTTGAAAACAATCTAAATCTTTAAGAAAATTTTAGAAACAAGCTATAAGAGAAAATAATAACAGTACCTATGCTATACTATGTCATCCTAAAAAGAATTAAAAATGTAAAAATTATATATGGTTTCTTTACCCAAACACACTAAACTTTTGGGTATATTCATATATGAAGAGATAGAGAAAGGATACTCAAATGTTTGGTGTATTTTTATCCTCTATACTTTTGAAAAATTTAGGTAAAACACTGTTTTTACAATGCTTTTAGGCCAGGCATGGTGGCTGAGCGCTTGTAATCCCAGCATGGTGGGAGGCCAAGGCAGGAGAATCCCTTGAGGCCAGGATTTCGAGACCAACCTGGGCAACAAAGCAAGTCTCAGCACCTCAGGAGGCTGAGGTGGGAGGATTACTTGAGACCAGGAGTTCAAGGCTGCAGTGAGCTCTGATCATGCCACTGTACTCTAGCCTGGGCAACAAAGTGAGAACCTATCTCTTAAAAAAAAAGAAAAAAGCCGGACTCGGTGGCTCAGCCTCTAATCCCGCGCCTTTGGGAGGCTGAGGTGAGTGGATTGCCTGAGCCCACAGGTTCGAGACCCGCCTGGACCGTGAGACCTCATCTCTGCAATAAATCAAAAAACCAGCCAGGCATGGTAGTGCATGCCTGTAATTCCGGCTACTGGGAAGGCTGAGGCGGAAGGATCACCAGAGCCCAGCAGGCGAGGCTGCGGTGGCCGGGAGCGGCCACTGCACTCCAGTCTGGGCGACAGAGTGAGACTCCAAAAAAGAGAAAAAAACTCAATGTTTTTTAAAGAGTTTGAGACAGAAATTGCCTGAAGGAAAAAATATCTACAGAATTACCCAAAGTCAATTTAGCATTTAATAGTACATTTCCTTTCAGTTTTCTCCCTGCAGGGTTTTGGAGTTTTGTTTGTTTTTAAATAATTTTTAATAGGTTTAAAAAAAAATGAAAAAAATAGTAGTTGCCTGCCTTCTTCCTCTCTGCATTTTAGTTTTATTCCTAAGAGGCAGTTTTATTTAAACTGTTTTGTTCCTTCTCCTTTCATAATTTAAAAAAAAATTATTGTACATTTAAAAAATCTTTTGAAAGGGTGCATTCACATAATTTAAAATTTAAAAAGAACCATGGGGTATACAATGAAAAGTCTTCCTATTCGTTTCCTCCTCCTATGAAGTTTCCTTCCCTGGAGACAAATAGCGTCAATTACTTATAGCCTTCAACCTAACATTCTTCCATGTTCTCACTCTTCACAAACTTCTAACTCTTTTTTGATTGTTTACTAGTAATCCAGTGTATGTACTTTGCCTTAATTAATTTTTCCCCGATTATTGGATATTTTTGTATTATTTCCTGTTCTTAATTTATAATGACTTTGATTAATGTGTTTATTTGAAATTGAGTTACTTGCTGCCTAAGGGAACAAGAAAGTTTACATTGAGTCTTTTTTTTCTTGAACTTTTAAATTTTTTTATTTTGAAGATGTGGGGTACAGTTCAGGGTTAGGTATACAGATGTTCATTATGCAGTTACCCTTGTTGATGAGGTGTGTCCCCTCTTCCCCAGGCAGATTCCCACTGCTGCCAATCCCACTTCCCCGCTCCCCTCCCATCAGTTTTGAATTGAATTTTTTAAAAAAAATTCTATCTTTATTGGATAATTTTGTAAAACATATGACAGATCATAAGAGTAATAAGAGAAATGCTTCAAAATGATAACTTTAATATCTCTTGTCTTGACCCAGAACAATACAGTGTACATTGAATGAATTAATGACTCCATGATATATGGTAAGGCAGAAAATACAAGTTAAGAAACACTTGGGATAAGTTACAGATAAGATTTCAAGAAGCCAGGATTCATTCAGCAACCAATGTTAATTACTGCTAATTACCAGGCACAACATTAAGAGTTGTGAATATAAGTCATATGGATTTTTTTCTAGAAGGCATATGTCATTTTCAGGAAAACTTCATTTATTGTTAGGTTTAGAAATAGAGTGCAACACTAGATAGTCTGCCCTAGTTTGCCTGTACTTACTTTATGGTTTCCTATATTGTTGATTGTCTTCCTTCAATTATTGTATAATTGTTCTTTATTTTCATTTCAGTGCTTAATTTTCTTAGATGATCCTCAGGCTGTGAGTGATATCTTAGAAAAACTGGTAAAGGAAGACAACCTCCTGATGGCGTATCAGATTTGTTTTGACTTGTATGAAAGTGCTAGCCAGCAGTTTTTGTCATCTGTAATCCAGAATCTTCGAACTGTTGGCACGCCCATTGCTTCTGTGCCTGGATCCACTAATACGGGTACTGTTCCAGGATCAGAGAAAGACAGGTAGAAGTATCTTTTTTCTGCATCAGAACTAATTTAACAATCTTTATTTCATTTTGGGAATAGTTAGAATATTCTAAGTAAATATTACCTACTCATTTGGGAATAGTTAGAATATTCTAAGTAAATATTAGCTTTCGTTGGTTATAAAGTCTTACTAGGCTATTTCTCTGCTTTGCACTGTGCTAGACACAGTAAGGAAAGCCAAAGAAATGGACCCTTCTGGAAAAAATTAGAAATGATTGTCTGGTAGGGAGGGCCTACCAGACAGCATGTATGCTATTCAAGTAAATTAAAAATCTCACATGCAATAGGTGAGCTACTTTTTAGACATTTGGGTCATGCAAATCTGGGTTAAACATGTGGAAAGTAAGAAACATTCTCAATTTTTTCTGCTTTTATTAGTACTAAATACACAGATCTCTAATACTGTAGAAATTTGTCTTCTATTCAAATTGATATAGTATTAAATTTTTAAAAATTTTTTGGTATTTTTTTTACACATTTAGACCACTTATTAAAAATATTTGTGTCTTAGTTATGCCTGCTTATTTTCCTTCTAAATCTGTCCACACAGCAGTGAGTATCATTCTTCTGAAATCTAAACAAGATAGCACTCTCTTCTCAACCTCCAAAACCTTCCAAATACATTTCACATAAAATCCTAAGTCCTGAAAGTAACCTACAAAGCCGTACATGATCTTGCCTCACCACACCTTTTATGTAGTCTCTTTTCTTCCTTTTTTACTGTCCTCAAACCTCACTGACCTCGTTGCTGGTCCTCAAATTCACCAGAAATATTCCTGACTCACTAAGGTTTTCTTGAGTTTTAGTTGTCATTATTTGTTTTGTTCCCTTGCTTTATTTTTCTTCTTTGGAGGCCTCCTGTTACAGGGATGTTGGATCTTTCTGACCCATCTTCTGTATTTGTCACTTTCTTTTGAATATTTTTCTGCTTCAGTTTGAGTAATCATTTAAATACAGTAAAACACACATATCTTAAGAATACAGTTCAGTTAGTTTTGACATGTAAACACCCACGTTACCAATACCTCTGTTATCATCTCGGAAATTATTTTTGTAACCTTTGCAGTCAACCACCTTCCCCCAAGGCAAGTACTGTTTTGATCTGTCACCATAGGTTAGTTTTGTCAGTTTGTGAGCTTCATAAAAATGAAATTATAGAGCATGTATTCTTTTGGTTTTGGCTTTTTTCACTCAGGATACTGTCTACAGTATAAATCAGTGATTTTGAGTGAATCAGTAGCTGTTTATTTTTTTATTGCTGAGTAAGCATTTCACTGTATGAATATGTTATAATTTGTTTATCCATTCTTTTACTGATGGATATTTGAATTGTGTCTGCTTGTTGGTTCTGAAGCTGCTTTGAACATTCTTGTACAAGGCTTTTTGTAGACTGATGTTTTTATTTCTCTTGGGTATATTCCTAGGATCACAGAGTATATGTTTAACTTGATAAGAAACTGCCAAAGTTTTCCAACGTTATACCTTTACTTTCTCACTAACAATTCTGACCATTCTGATTGTTCTTTATGTATCTTTCCCAACATTTGATGTTACCCATCTTTTTTTGTTTGTTTGTTTGTTTGTTTGTTTACCCTCCCCGCTCCCAAGTCCTACCCATCTTTTTAATATTACTCCTTCCAGTGGTGTAAAGTGATGTTTCATTGTGATTTTCTCTTTCCTTTTTTCTTTTTTCTTCTTTTTGTTTCAGAGATGAGACTTCACTATGTTGCCCACAATAGGGCTCAGAGGCACAATCATAGCACACTGTAGACTTCAACTCTTGGGCTCAAATGATTCTCCTACCTCAGCCTCCCAAGTAGCTGGGATTACAAGTGTGGACAACTATGCCTGGCTTTCATTGTGATTGTAATTGAAGTCATTTGTCAGATATATATGTGATGAATATTTTTTCCTAGTTTTGGTTTATCTTTTAATTTTCTTAATGTTGTCTTTTTATGAACATAACTTTTTATTTTTGTTAATCTAACTTTCCATTTTGGGGCTCCACCTAAGAAATTCTTTGCCAGAATAGGCATGGTGGCTCACACCTGTAATTCCAGTGCTTTGAGAGGCTGAGGTGGGTGAATTGAAGCCAGGAGTTTGAGACCAGCCAGGGCAACAAAGTGAGACCATGTCTCTACAAAAAAAATTAAGTTTTTGTAAGCCTCATGGTTACAAAGAATCTTGTTATACTTTCTTCAAGAAACTATGCTATATAGTTTTATATTTAGGTCTATAGTAGATCTAAGCTTAACTTTTTGTATATAGTTTGAGACAAGAATAAATGATTTTTCTTCTCATATAGATATCTAGTTGTTCCATCACCTTTGGTTTGAAAGACAGTCCAGTTCCTGTTAAATTGCTTTTGAATCTTTGACAAAAATCGATTTGCCACATTTGTATGTTCACCAATTTTTGTTGTTGTTGTTCTTTTCCATTGATCTAAAGACATACCTTGGCAATATTGTGGGTTCTAAAGCACCACAATAAGGTGAATATCACAATAAAGTAAGTCACATGGAGTTTTTGGTTTCCCTGTGCATATAAAAGTTATGTTTGTCCTATACAGTGATTTATTAAGTGTGCAATAGCATTAGGTGTTTAAAAAAATTGTGTATGCCTTAGTTTAAAATACTTTGTAGCTTTAAAATGCTAATGATCATCTGAACCTTTAGCACATCTTAATCTTTTTGCTAGTGAAGGGTCTTGTCTCAACGTTGATGGCTGCAGACTGATTAAGGTAGTGGTTGCTAAGTTGGGATGACTGTGGCAATTTCTTTTTTTTTTGAGTTGTAGTCTCTTTGTTGTCTAGGCTGGAGTGCAGTGACTTAGGTAATCCTTCTGCCTCAGCCTTCCAAGTAGCTGGAACTACAGACTTCCGCCACCATGCCTGGCTACACTGTGGCAATTGCATAAAATAAGACAGCAGTGAAGTTTTTGTTACATTGATTGACTCTTCCTTTTACAAAATATTTCTCTGTAGCATGCAATACTGTTTGATAGCATTTTACCCACAATAGAACATCTTTCAGGATAGGAGTCAGTCAGTCAGTCCTCTCAAACTCTGCTGCTGTTTTGTCAACTAAGTTTATGAAATATTCTATATCTGTTATTGTCTCCAGGAGTAGATTTCATCTCAAGAAACCACTTTCTTTGCTCATTCATAAGAAACAACTTTTTAGCCATTCAACTTTTATCATGAGATTGTAGCAATTTAGGCACCTCTTCAGGCTCTATTTCTAATTCTAGTTCTCTTGCTATTTTCACCGCATCTGCAATTGTGGCACCCCAGAACAATTACAGTGGTAATTCCAAAGATCACTGATCACGGATTAACATAGATATAATAATAATGAAAATGTTGTTATAATTATAATGAAATAAGGTAAGAATTACCAAAAGGTAACACAGACATGAAGTGATCACATGCTACTGGAAAAATGGCACTAAAAGACATGCTCAAAAGGCAATAAAATACAGGTATGCCCATATTTCTCTTTCTTTATATCCATACCACTTTCTCTATTACTAAAGCTTATGGTAAATTTTGCAGTCAGATAATGTAAGACCTTCAGCTTTGATTATTTTCTTTTCAAGATTATTTTGACTATTGCAGCTCTTTTGCATTTCTGTTAAGTCTTTGGGGATTCTAACTGGGATTGTGTTGTGTAGCATATCTTTAGTTTGGGGCACGTTGAAATCCCGACAATATTGAATCTTGTAATCCAGGAACATTGTGTTTTTCTTTACTCAGATTTTCTTTATTCTTTTCCCAGCTGTGTTCTAAGATCTTAGCGCAGAGATTTTGTGCATCTTTTCATAGATTAATTTCCTTCTATTCCTAAGTATAATTTATTTTTTGATACTCTTGTTAAGCGATATTTTAGAATTTCTATTTCCGTATTTTTGTAGTTGTATATAGAAATACAGTTGGTTTTTTATATCAGTATTGAATTCTGTGACCTTGCTTAAGTCACTTAATAGCTTTAGTAAATTTTTTAAAAAATCGATCCTTTTATAGAATCTTCTTCATAAGAATCTTTGTTATCTGGGAGTAGAGGCTATTCTACTTCTTCCTTTCTAATCTTTACACCTTTCCCCTTATTTTTCTACATTGGCTAGGATTCCCAAAATATTATAGAATGGAAGTGATAAGAGGCCACATTCTTCCTTTGTTCCTGACCTTAAGGGGATAACATTTATTTATTTATTTTTGATTTAACAAATTTTCTTTCTTCTTGCCTTCTCCTTTTCTTAAGGCATATATGTTGTGTTTATTTGCTCACATGCTCCTTTTGAGTTAATCTTCACTTCTGAAATGCTTATTTTTCTCTTTTATTTCTAATTTTACCCTAGTTCTATCATGTTAATTTCTGAGATTTTCTAATTCTAATATGCAGTATTCTTATATATTTTGTTTCATTTTCTTAATATCGTTCACCTCTTTTGAAATAATTTTTTTTCTTATAATAGTTTATGGATTTTACTTTGATTCTTTTCTGTGGATTATTTTTACTGATTAGTTTTTCTGAACTTTTTACAAGGAAACCTTGTTTAGGATAGTTTTTCTGTTTTCACTGCTCTCTAGAACTTTCTCTTCTATTGTGTTTGTGGAATGTTAAACAAAATGGTGGCTTTTGTTCTGAGGTCTCCTAACTCTGTTTCCTTTGCCCAGCATTTTTTCTTCATGATACTGCTTTCACCTAGGTGGGAGTATTGGCTGGTTAGTTTTAAGAGAAGTTAGGGCCCTGGTTACTTCATTTCAAACTGATTTTGTAGCTAGTGGTGGTTTTTCTCCACCTGACCATGTTTTGGGAGTGAGAGGGAAATTTTATCACCTGTTCTTGTTATATTTATCATGGATTTTGCTAACCTAGTTGCTTTGCATGTTTTTATGAATTTATTTGGGAGAAATTCAATGACTAAGTTGCCTCTATCTTAGAGATGCCTAGAATTTTTTTTTCCTAATGGTAATACGTATGAAGTAAACATTTGCTTGCAAAATATTTTATTTGAACATGGTTCAAATCTGTGGTATAAACAAATTGTCAGAACATTCTATTCAGAAAAGATTTATTGGATTATTGATTGTTGCTTTTCTTCATTTTAGTGACTCAATGGAAACAGAAGAAAAGCCAGGCAGTGCGCTTGTAGGAAAGACACCAGAAGCAGTGAGTATACTTTTTGAAGTTGAGATTACCACCTAACATGTATCCCCACAGTATATTGTAAATTCTTTCCAGTGTATGTTGTATATCTACTTTTATGAAAGTTTATTATAAAATTTAATACCAAAGTTATTTTATAAAAAAGGATTTTCTATAAAAAGTAAAACTTTAAAAATTGGTTCAAGAAAACACTTAGAAGAAACCCAATCCTTAGTTCCTTACCAAAGAATAATCTCTGTCTAAAATAACTTCAAATTACCTGTCACAGGTGAGACAAAATCATGGCCTCTAATAAATGATGACTATATGGGAGGCATGTTACTTTTCGTTTTGCTTTTTTCCCTGCCCTCCCCTCCCACGTGCCCCTGCAGGTTAGTTTTTAATGTTTGTGGTATATGGAAGGGTAGGGTAAATATCAGAGTAGTGGTCTGTTGGTTGTAAATACTTAATCCATTAGGACTTTTGGTTTCTAATGCTCAGATGTGTAAATTCATGTGTTCTTTACCTGGATAGAGAATTGTGTTGGTGCCTTGGTAGTTCATGAGATCATATATGTGTGTTGATTCAAGATACTTTCGATTTTCTCAATTTTGAGTAGAGAGTTTCTCATCTAAAGTATAATTTAACTATGATAAAGTAATTTTCCTGCATGTCATCAGGAATATTTTTTTCAGTTCCAGTTTGAAGAGGTATAATTATTTTTTTCCAGTTTTTTTAATATTAAAATATTTTACATTGGAAGCTTGTTGGATTTGAATTGTATTCTTCCATTAAGCTTTTGTCATATCTTTGTGACATCTAATAAAGAAATAAATTATTCTTCCTCTCCGAATAAATGATAATTGAGTTTTCTGCATCCTATGATCAAAGTATGTCTTTTGTTGTATATATGGACTGTTTGAATTTTACTGGTTTAGGACTGATGAAATAAAGTTGACCTTAGTAGATTTCAAAAACTTTATATGTGAGTTTTCATTCTTTATTTTGGCAGAGTCCAGAGCCCAAGGACCAGACTTTGAAAATGATTAAAATTTTAAGTGGTGAGATGGCTATTGAGTTACATCTGCAGTTCTTAATACGAAACAATAACACAGACCTCATGATCCTAAAGAACACAAAGGTAGGAAATTCATCTGCAATGGAGGTATTTTCTTATATTTATTTCTTTGACGAATGTAAGTACTTATATGTATTTCTTGTTGAATACTTTGTTGTATTGCATTCCTGATTAAGGAAATAAGTATTTAAGTTTTTGTAAAAATAGCAATTAGTAGACCTCTTGAGCTTATTGGAAAGGGAATGGAATTAGCAATGATTGATCTCCTGTGGTTATATTAGTCTCTTGTTAAAAACTTAGTGAATTCTTTTTTTTCTTTTTTTTTGAGTTGGAGTCTCACTCTGTCACCCAGACTGGAGTGCAGTGGCCGCTCCCGGCCACCGCAGCCTCGACCTGCTGGGCTCCAGCAAGCCTTCTACCTCAGCCTTCCAAGTAGCTGGAACTACAGGCGCGTGCTACCACGCCCGGCTAATTTTTTGATTTATTGTAGAGATGAGGTCTCGCCAAGTTGCTCAGGCGGGTCTCAAACCCTCAGTCTCAGGCAATCCATTCACCTCAGCCTCCCAAAGGCGCAGGATTACAGGCTGAGCCACTGAGCCCAGCTTTTTTTCCTTTTTTATCTTAAGGTATACATGTAGCAATGGACAAATAGCACAATCAGAATATTAATATAGTTTATATGTCTATATTTCCCACTGAACCATGAACCCCTTGAGTGCAGATATTCTTAACTAGTTGCAGCCTTTGTTGAGATACTCATCCTAGCAATTATTAATATTTTAATTTTTGAACAGGTAATATAGTTGGTTAAAGTGTTTTACTATAAAAAGGTATATGACATGAAAAACCTTTCTCCCTTCCCTCTCTTATTTGCCTAATACCCCTTTCCAAAGTCATTTATTCTTTTTTTTTATAGTCATAAACTATTCAGTGACTAAAGAGTTGTATAATAATACTTTTTTTCTTTTTTTTTTAATTTGGGGCCTCACTCTGTTGCCCAGGCTGGAGTGCAGTGGCACAACCGCGGCTCATTGCAGACTCAACTTCCTGGGCTCAGGCAATCTTTCTGCCTCAGCCTCCTAAGTAGCTGGGACTATAGGCATGTGTTGCCACAGCTGGCTAATTGTTTTATTTCTTATAGTAAGACTAAGTCTTGCTGTGTCACCTAGGATGGTCTCAAATTCCTGGGCTCAAGCAGTCCTCCTGCCTTGGCCTCCCAAAGTGCTATGATTGCAGGTGTGAGCCATTGAGTCTGGCTGTAAGAGTGCTTTTTGAGACTTTTATAGAGTTTTTACAAATGACAAAAGGATACATAATCACGTAATTTACATTTATGACAATTTGAAGGTAGGTTTTATAATATAGTTTTATTAAAAATAAACAAATTATTTGGTAACTGTCAGAGGTGCAGACCAGAAAAGGTATAGCACCATTTCTTAGGTTACCCCAACACATTAGAGACCTTGGACAAGATGCTGAAGAGAATTGGCAAGTTTAACTATTCAGAAACTGAAGAATCGAAAATCTGCTACCTAAATTCCCACTTCATATCTGCTATTGAGCTTGTGCTAAAATTGCAAATAAAACTATATGACTTACTTGTTTCTATAAACTACTTAGACTTTATAAAGAAATACCCAAAATCAATAATTTAAATGTTAGTTCAGTTTGTTCATGCTTTTACCACAAAATAGGAGCTTTTACTGTGTGTATGAGCATATGCCTGTATAAATACTTTGCCTATGATTAAAAAACAAAAAAATCTATATTGTTTTCATAGGATGCAGTACGGAATTCTGTATGTCACACAGCAACCGTTATAGCAAACTCTTTTATGCACTGTGGGACCACCAGTGACCAGTTTCTTAGGTGAATATGCTTGGTGATTTCTACTTGGGTTTAAAATCATCTTTAACAGAGACTATGTTGACATTGTTATATGGACATGGAGAGCTTTCCCTACTGACCAGTCTTGAATTCTAAATTATATTGTTGCTATTTTATGTATTTTTTTTATTGTATATGCCTATTTGTTTTAAGATAAAATAAATTCCTTTTATTGCTTAGCTTAATTATAGGCTTTTGAAGGAAATATATTAAGCTGTAAAAAATTAATATAATTTTGCTTTTGTTTATAGTGTAGTTACGTATGCATTAAAAAATACACAAAATATTAAGAACAGCTTAGGAGGTAAAATAGAATCAGCAATAACTTGAGTTCCACAAAATAAAATTATTTAAAATGGTTCAAGGTAAAATTTTAATCCTTTGACATAGTGTTAAAAAACTTTTAGAAATTCATTTGTTTTAATGCTAACTAAAATTACTATTTTCTTTTTTTACAGAGATAACTTGGAATGGTTGGCCAGAGCCACTAACTGGGCAAAATTTACTGCTACAGCCAGTTTGGGTGTAATTCATAAGGTAATATATATTGATCAGTGTGAACATATATTAGAAAAGAAGCTGTTTTCCTGGGGTTAAGAAAAAAATTAAAGTTTATTATAATTTATTGACAAGTAAATTTTGTTAAATCAGGTCAGTCATCTTACAGGGAAAGATGAAGTAAATAATATGTTACAATATATATGTGTGTATGTTTGTTTTTAATAAGAAGTGGACATCCTTTTCCTGTAAAGACTGTCTAAGCCGCTGGGCTCGGTGGCTCAGCCTGTAATCCCGCGCCTTTGGGAGGCTGAGGTGAGTGGATTGCCTGAGCCCGCGGGTTCGAGACTCACCTGGGCAATTGGCGACACCTCATCTCTACAATAAATCAAAAATTAGCCGGGCATGGTAGCGCGCGCCTGTAGTTCCAGCTACTTGGAGGGCTAAGGCGGAAGGATCGCCGGAGCCCAGCAGGTTGAGGCTGTGGTGGCCGGGAGCAACCACTGCACTCCAGTCTGGGCGACAGAGTGAGACTCCAACTCAAAACAAAAAGCAAAAAAAAAGGACTGTCTAAACCATTTAGAGGATAAATTGAAATTTTATTTGCATAGTCAAAGATTAATTTGGGCAAATGTTATGAAACAGTGGGGAAAAAAATGAAGCATTTGTGATGTTTTCTAACCAGAATGTGACTGGGTATCTTAAAGATTGTTCTCTTGTTTGACTGATACGGTTGTATGGGAGAGAACCACACTACCTCCTTCCCTTTCACCAAGTGAACATTCTGGGGAGAAAACAGTAATCATAGAAAACATTATTTTTTTTCCTTTCACTTTCTTTTACTGACATCTCTGTTGTGGCTCACATTAACAGGGTCATGAGAAGGAAGCATTACAGTTAATGGCAACATACCTTCCCAAGGACACTTCTCCAGGATCAGCCTATCAGGAAGGTGGAGGTCTCTATGCATTGGGTCTTATTCATGCCAATCATGGTGGTGATATAATCGACTATCTGCTTAATCAGCTGAAGAATGCCAGCAATGATGTAAGTGTTGAAATGGAAAACTAGATTTTCATTACTTCAGAATCCAGGAAATCATTTTATTTCCCAAATTATTTTAGTGACTGGAGATTCTGTAGGATTTAGGAATACCTAAAATAGAACTATTGTCTTAAGAGTTTTTTTTCCTAAGGTAATTTCTTTTTCTTCTCTATAAGCTAAAATTGTGTGTCTCATTCCTTTAAACCCTGTGTGTGACAAGCAAAACAAAGGACAAAGTATTTGTAAAACATGCGTTGTATCCCCACACTTTAGACTCTTAGAATGTTAAAACCACAAGACCCAACTTATAATCCCAGCACTTTGGAGGCCGAGGCAAGTGGATTGCCTGAGCCCGTGGGTTCAAGACCAGCCTAGGCACCTTGGTGAGCCCTCATCTCTACAATAAATAAAAAAAATTAGAGTGGTGTGGTAGCACATGCCTGTAGTTCCAGCTACTTGGACGGCTGAGGTGAAGGATCGCCAGAGCCTAGCAGGCTGACGCTGGGGTGGGCGTGAGTGTGCCACTGCACTCCAGCCTAGGCGACAGAATGAAACTCCAACTCAAAAAAAACCCCACAAGACCTTAGTTGTCATCGAGTCTAGCCATATTACTTTACAGGAAACTAAGGCCCAAAGAAAATATACATATGAGTGGAGATCCAAAAAAACTCAGAATTATCTTTTGGAAGGTGGGTCTTTTGTAGTAGAATTTGTTCCTCCAGAGCAAACTGTCAACCAAAGTTTTTATCTCGGAGTTTTGAGACGGTTGCGCCACAGTTTGTGGAAGAAACCTCCCAAGTTGTGGCAAACAGATGACTGGTTCTTCCACCATGTCAGTGTACCTGCCCACATTGTGCTGAGTGTTCAGCAGTTTTTGACCAAAAACAGTGTGACCCCTGTGCCCCACCCTCCGTATTCTCCCAGTCTCATCCCAAGAGAATTTTTGTTTGTTTCTTTCCCCAACTAAAAAGACCTCAAAGTGAAACATTTTGCTGATGTGGAAGAAGTGAAACGACAGAAGCACTAAAAGGCATTAAAATAGATGAGTTCAAAAACAGTGGAAAACATTTCTTGATAGGTGTGTTGTATCAAATGGAGAGTACTTTGAAGGTGACTGAAGTTTATACATGTAAGGGTAAATACAAGATTTTTAATAAATAAATTCTGTTTTTTTGGATCCCCCCCATACTCTCTCAGAAATCAGAATTCTTACTTATTTTGATGTTTGATAATTTTTTCAGTGTAAATATTTTGGAAAAACATATTAAGTAACCCTTTTCTTATTTTAAGAAACATTAAAATAAGATTTTAGACTTTAACTTTTATGTTAGGGTAAACTCTTAGAAGGTTATCAGAATAGTAGTTAAGTGAACCAGAAAAGCCTTATCCTCATTCTTCATTGAAAAGATTGAAGCCATAGGATTACTTGTCTCAGTTAACAATCTTTCTCTCCACAAAACTTGTGCATATGTGCACATATTTGGTCCCAGGTATCTTATCAGGCAGGGTTTATGGTTAGAAAAACAGTATCAAAAAGACAGCATTAAAAACCTCCTATGCCGGGCATGATGGTTCATTGAGGCCTGTAGTTCTAGCACTTTGGGAGGCTAAGATGGGAGGGTTGCTTGTGCCTAAGAGTTTGAGACCAAACTGAGCAACATAGCAAGACTGCATCTCTACAAAAAAAAAAATCAAAAAATTAGCTGGTCATGGTGGTGCATGCCTGTAATCCCAGCTACTCAGAAGGCTGGGACAGGAGCATCACTTAAGCTGTGGTGAGCTGTGATCGTGCCACTGCAACAATCTGGGTTGCAGATTGAGACCTTGATTTTAAATAAATAAATAAATAATACCAATTTTTAAAAAGAAACCTTTTGAAGGTAACCCCTTTGGGTCCCCTCCCACTTGGGAGCTTTTCTGTCCTCTCAATAAATCCTGCTTTCCAAAAAAAGAAAAAGGAAAAGAAACCTTTTGTAACTAACTTAAACAAGAAATTTATTGGAAATAGCATATGTAATTAATGAAAAAGCTGATGAACCAGTTCTCGCAGTTAAGTGCCAGAACAACTCCAGGGATCTGGGTAACAGGAACTAACAAAATCATAATTTCAGGGTCCTACTGTCAGGATGAATGAACTTGAAATGTTTTTGATCATTGGATTATTCCACTTAAGAAAGATTAAAATTCCAGGGAAGTAGCATCCTATTGACCTGACTTAGGTCACCTGCCCACACTTTGACTAGGAGGGGATGGGAACTTAAATGACAGTCCCACCAAGACTCCAACCATTAGAGGGAAGAGTATTCCCGAAGCAAGATTGGAGTGCTGTCTCCAAATAAAGAATACTATGCATTGAAAGATGACAGATGACCGCTGAAATCTCCTTTTTAAAATGTCTATATTTCAAGTGTACTCTGATCCCATTTTCTCCCATTTTCTTCATAACCATGTTTCTGTTAGATACCTTTTTCTCCTCTCTCTTTAGCTTCTCCCTCTCTATTGCCTTCTTTCCCTCAGTCCGTAAGCATACTCAGTTCTCACCTATCCTAAAAAAATTTTTTCCTTAACATTTGTTTCTTTCTTAGTTGTTGTTCAGTCTTCCCTCCCTTCTCATGAAAACGTATTAGCTCACTATCATTTTGTATTAGCAAAGATCTTTCTGCTGAAACTGAAATTGATGAGGTTACCACTGGCCTTCTGATTATCAGATCCTCTCTGATCATTCTTACTAAGCCAACCTCTGTATATCTAATATCAAAATGTATTTTGAAATTAGAATGAAAGCCTTGATTTTAAACAGTGTACCAAATCGATGGAGTCAATTTTTTTCCTAGATTGTTCGACATGGTGGCAGTCTGGGCCTTGGTTTGGCTGCCATGGGAACTGCACGCCAGGATGTTTATGATTTGCTAAAAACAAACCTTTATCAGGATGATGCTGTGACAGGTAATGATGCTTTTCTTTCTAAAGGCAACAAACTTAAGCATTAATTAATATAATTGTAATATTTGTTTTCTGCCTATATTTCGTAGCCTTTTATAATTCTAATGGATTTCTCTACTTGAAGAGAGAATGGGTTTTGCTTTATTTCTCAAACTTACCTTTTTAAAACATGTTTTGTGATACATAGGCTTTCTAAAATGATATATCCTGTATGTCCATTTGTATACACTAACTTTTGCAAATAGGAATTTAATAGAGTGATCTACTTATATTATTCCATACTGCTTGCTGATAATGTAGGAAAAAATGTTCAGTGTCTCCTTTGAAATCACTTAGGATTTGGTGGTACATTCTGTCAAGGTTTAAAAGGAAAACAGCTATAAATGAATAGATGTACTTCCATATAAAGTTTTCTTTTCTTCATCAGATGGTTTTTTAAAATGGTTATTTTGATAGTTGATGCTAATAAATGCTATTTCCAATTGGATGTTTTATTGACTTCACAAATAAAACTCTTATTTGTTAACATTTTACTCTTTACTCCCAAGGGGAAGCAGCTGGCCTAGCCCTAGGTTTGGTTATGTTGGGCTCTAAAAATGCCCAGGCTATTGAAGACATGGTTGGTTATGCACAAGAGACTCAGCATGAGAAGATTTTGCGTGGTCTTGCAGTTGGCATTGCATTAGTGATGTATGGAAGAATGGAAGAAGCTGATGCTCTCATTGAATCTCTCTGTCGTGATAAGGTGAGATCACATTTATCCTCTTTCCCTCTTCATCTTTCACTCTCCAGTTATCTCCAGCTTGTTTAAAATAAAATGATACTTGTCTTTACTGGAAATAACTCTGTTTCTATCAAAACACCTAAGCACATTTGTTCATAAAACTTCTTGCAAGATATATAAAAGCCTAATAGACATTAAGAAAGAGAAACACTGATTGGAAGAGGTGAATGGAAGTGGTTTGAGGATTTTAAATTTAGCCATGGCTTCAGATCTGTGATATTTAGATAAGCAGATCCAGCATTGGTCTTTAGGAATTTACAAGTTGATTTCTTTTAAAAATATTATTTCTGGAATGATTTCATAGTCATTTAATAAGATATAAAGTTTGTATCATTCTTTCTTCAGAAGATAGTGCCAATCTCTATACTTATTTGGGTGAGATTTTTGTCCATTGCTTTTTGTTTTTTTTTTACAGTGGTATTATGTGTGGTAGATTGTTAGTGGTAAGTAATACTATCCATTATAATCTGATTAAAAAAAAACACTGTTATAGTTTATTGATAAAATTTTGAATTAATTTGTTTTATCAGACTCCATACCGCTCTCAGCACTCAGTATCTAGGATTTAAGTAATAAGGTAAAAATGTAGAATTAGAAGACAACTTCCTTGTTGTTTGTTCAATGGAAGTTGACTGCCATAGGGAAGTGGGTATTGATATTGACTTGAGTTTATACTTCCTAGAAAGTATGAAGCAAGGCAGGCATATTGCACAAAACATAGGAAAATCCCTCTCTACAAAAATCAAAAAGTAGCTGGGTATGGTGGTTTGCATTTATGGTGGTAGAAGTAGTTTGAGGATTTTAAATTTAGCCATGGCTTCAGATCTGTGATATTCAGATAAGCAGATCCAGCATAGGTACTTAGTAATATACAAGTTGATTTCTTTTAGAAATATTATTTCTGGAATGATTTCAGTTCTCAGCTACTCAAGAGACTGAGGCGGAAAGATTGCCTAAGCCCAGGAGGTCGAGGCCCCAGTGAGCCATGATTGTGCCACTGCACTCCAGCCTGGGTGACAGAGTGAGACCCCAACTCAAAAAAAAGAGCAGTTTATTCTTTCTATATTAGTCTTTTATTTCCCCATTTATTTAGGAAATTACCAACCACAAAAGAACTCTTGAGTTTTCCATTTACTACCCAAAACCAACTTACCTGACGGATGCCTGCTAGACTGTAGACGTTACTGTTTGAAATAATAAGTTGATTATTAATGTTGCATTATTATTTCTTAGGACCCAATTCTTCGACGCTCTGGAATGTATACTGTAGCCATGGCTTATTGCGGCTCTGGTAACAACAAAGCTATTCGACGCCTACTACATGTTGCTGTAAGTACTCTGACCTTTCTTGGGAATAGGGTAGAAGGGAAAATTTGCAGATAGACAGTAAGTGTCTAGGTGAGTGCAGCACCCACATCACATGACCACCACCAGTGATCTAAGGTTGAGATTCTCATTCACTGGACACAATAGGCCATAACCTAGCACTAGATTCACTTAACTTTTCAGAAGGATATAGGACAGGATAACCGTATGAATGGAAGTCCTTAAAGCCATTCAGATGCAACTTCTGAAACTCCACTACAAAAGGCACCCTCATTTGTAAGGGATGAGACTTGTAAGTATATGTGGCCATGCTAGGATTGGGAAATCTTCCAGGTACCCCTAGTGGGCACGGTGGTTTGTGCCTGTAATCCCAGCTGCTCAAAAGGCTAAGGTATGAGAATTACTTGAGCCCAGGAATTCAAAGCTGCAGTGAGCTATAATAGCACCACTGTACTCAAGCCTAGGTGACAGGGTAAGTCCCTGCCTCTTTAAACCACCCCCCAGCCCCAACTCCTAAAGAACATGCCCAATTTAAGAGACAAACTGCACAAGAAAGCCAATGCCTATGTTTTCCAACAGGCTTTCTCCATTCATAGTTCTTCTAGTCTGGGTATAGTTATCAGCTAATAAGTAATATTGCTTGGTTACACAGTAGACATTCCACATATATTGTAATTCAGTAGATTTGTAGCATCAGAGTGCTGGGAGAAGGTAAACCAAGAGCACCTTCCCATGTAGAAAGGCTTAAACTGTTATTCACTTCTTCTTCCCAGGGATGTTCACATCCCAAAATATGTATTAGTAATTTTTTTTAGCAGCGCAGTATGTAGCATATTCTAAGTGTTTCTATTTTGCTTGACCTGAGCACATACTGTTTTGAAAACAACACTGAAGGAATAGTTAGATTTCCAGTGTAGCCCATAAAAACTATACTGCAAGCTGAAACAGTCTTAAGAAATAGCCCTGAATCTTAAACTTTCCCAAGCTTTAAAGACTTCTGAACCCTGAAATGAAATTTTCCAGTGACTTTTTCTAAATTGAGAAAACACATTCTTTAAAAAAAAAACAAACATGTGTCTGTCTGTCTTCCTCCCTCCTTCTCTTCCCTTCCCCTCCCTCCCCTCCCTTCCCTCCATCCCTCACTTCTTTCCTTCCTTGTTGGAGTTTCACTCTGTTGCCAGGCTGGAGTTCACAGCCACCACAGCCTCGACCTGCTGGGCTCAGGCCATTCTTTTGCCTCAGCCTTCCAAGTAGCTGGAACTACAGGCATGCGCCACCATGCCCAGCTAATTTTTTTATTTATTGTAGAGATGAGGTCTCACTAAGTTATCCAGGCTGGTCTCGAACTCCTGGACTCAGGCAGTCCTCTCACCTCGGCCTCCCAAAGTGCTGGGATTATAGGCTTGAGCCATCACACCTGACTGTGTATTTTTAAAATGTATTTATTTATTGTATGTATTTAGAAGTGTGTGGTGTTGTTTTGATATCAATGATGAAGGGAAAGACTTTCTAATAAAAGAATAATATATTAATGACGTCTAATTTACATTTGAATGATATGGGCCTCATAGTATTAGAATGCATGGTATAATATGTTCATCTTAAACTTTTTTCCTTAGGTAAGTGATGTTAATGATGATGTCAGGAGGGCAGCAGTAGAATCACTTGGGTTCATTCTATTCAGGTAATAATTTCCAACTTCTTATTCTATTTGTATTTTGTTGCTTTTTTGTACTCAGTAAATAAATACCTAAGGAATATGTCTGAATTCTAGTGAGAACCAATAGTAAGATGAGTGTCATTCACCTGAAAAAGAACAAAGTATTTCATGGAATTCTAGGTAACTATTTCATAAATAGTAAAACTATTTAATTATTTCTGTTTTTTTAAGTAACGTTCTGCTTATTTACTTAACTTTTTAAATCCAAATAACACCTCCAGTACTCCTTTTTTGTGGTTATTGGTAATTCAAGTGAGATATTATCTCTTACATAGGTTTGTAAAGCTTCTGAAGCCCTTCAATAAGAGCAAAAAGTAGTAGTCCTTGTTTAAATACAAAAGGATGAAAATTTTGCAGGCTAAAAAAATTTATTTTTTTACTTGCAGATGTGGAGATGCCCTTGGCAGTACAGTGTAGTTGTATTTAAGTCACAATCAGCTGGGCATGGTGGCTCACACCTGTAATCTTAGCACTTTGGGAAGCTGAGACAGGAGGATTGCTTGAGCCTAGGAGTTCAAGACCAACATGGGCAATTTAGCAAGACCTCGTCTCTACAAAAAAAAAGTTAAAACAATTAGTCAGGTGTGGTGGTGCATACCTGTAGTCCCAGCTACCCAGAAGGCAGAGGAATCACCTGAGCCCAGGAGGTTGAGGCTATGGTGAGCTGTGAGCCACTGCTCTTTAGCCTGAATGATAGAGCTGGACCCCAACTTAAAAAAAAGTTGCACCCTAAACTAGTCTGCCTGAGTTGACTCCCAACTCAACTTCTTACTAACTAAGTAATTTTGGGTAAATTATCCAATCTCTTTGAGTCATTCCTCATCTTTAAACTGGGTATAATAATAATACATAGTTGAAATGATTTTTTTGAATGATTCAGTGAATAAATATATCTTATGAATGAACGAGATGTGGCACTAATAAGCACTATACAAGTGTGTGTTAGTAGTGGTAATTGTAGTAGTTGTTGTACTGGTGTTGGTGGTAGTAGATGTAGTAGTAGTACTCACATTCTCATTACTGTCTATTTAGCCCCAATCTCAAATATCATTCTTTCTTTTAGGTAAGATATAGGCATACCTCAGTTTACTACAATTCACTTTATTGCACCTTGCAGATACTTCATGTGTTACAAGTTGAAGGTTTATGGCAACCCTGCATCAAGCAAGTCTATCGGTGTCATTTTTCTAACAGCTTGTGCTCATTTCATGTCTCTGTGTCACATTTTAGTAATTCTCACAATATTTCAAACTTTTCCGTTCTTTATTACATCTGTTATGGTGATCAGTGATCTCTAATGGATTATTGTAATTGTTTTGGGGCACCACAAACTGCATCCATATAAACAGCAAACTTAATAAATGTTGTGTGTTCTGACTGCTCCACCAACCAACTGTCCCCCTCCTTGGGACTTCCTATCCTTGAGAAACAACAATATTGAAATTTGGCCAATTAATAACTGTACAGTGGCCTAAATGTTCTAATGAAAGAAAGAGTCTGATGTCTCTCACTTTAAATAAAAAACTGGAAATGATTAAGCTTAGTGAGGAAGGCATGTCAAAAGCTGTGATAGGCCAGAAGCTAGGCCTATAGTATTTTATTTTATAATTTTTATTTTGAGTTGTGGGGTACAAGGAGGATTTACTACATATGTAAGTTGTGTGCAGGTGAAATTTGGGCTTCTGACTAGTCTTCTCTCCCCCTGAGAGTAGACCAGGTACCCAGTATGTTGCCACGTGCCCTCCTGCCTCCCCTAGCAGTGTCCAGCATCTGCCAGTCCCACACTTGATACCTGTGTGATCAGTGATCAGGGCCCATTTATGAGTGAGGACCTGTGGTATTCAGTTCTTTGTTTCTGTGATAGTTCACTTAGTATGATTGTCTTCAGCTGCATCCATGTTGGAAAGCAAGACCTTTTGTACCAAAGAGTTACTGAGCTGTGAATGCAAAGGGAAATTTCCTGAAGGAAATATAAGTGCTACTCCGGTGAAAACATGAATGATGAAGTAAAGTAGGCTCATTGCTGACATGGAGAAAGTTTGAGTGGTCTGGATAGGAGATCAAACCAGCCACAATATTCCCTTAAGACAGAGGTTAACCCAGAGCAAGGCCTTAATTCTCTTCAATTCTGTGAAGGCTGAGAAAGGAGAGAAAGCTATAGGGAAAAAATGTTTTGAAGCTAGCAGATACTGGTCCATGAGGTTTAAGGAAAGAAGCTGTCTCCATAACATAAAGGTGCAATGTGAAGCAGCAAGTGGTGATGTAGAAGCAGCCGCAAATTATCCAGAATATCTAGCTAAAATCACTGCCTCGGGGTGGCAGAGGTGGGAGAGATGGAGGAGGTAGAAAGGGAGGCACGTATACTCAGTGTGACTGTTAAAAAAAATCCCCACGTTAGTGAACCCACACAGTTCAAGACCATGTTGTATGAACATTGCCTGTTTTAGCTTATTTGTGATAAAATCACAAAGTAAGTTTCCAAGTTGCATGTTAAATGAATCAAGTGTTTTGTGTCCTGTTAATCTTTAGAAGAGATTTTTTCCATCCCAAGTTCCCTGGGAGTGGAGCTTTACTGTAAAGATTGTTAGGTAATTCAACAGATATTTCTGGGACAGCCATTGTGAACTACTTAAAGGATCTTCTCCCTAACATCCCATATAGGAAGTCATCCATTTATTGTAAACTATAAAATATTTTTTTCCCATTGTGGATAAAAATGTTTAATAAAGCAGAACAAGGCCCATGTAGCATGCTAATAGGGTTCTCCTTACACCAGTTTTCTTGAATGAGATTGTTCAACCAAATACTAGTCTCCTTCACTGTATTATCCTGTAACCCTCATTTCTCCAACTTTTTCACAGAGATGCTAGAGAATCTTCACTGACTCCTAATGACATAATATTCCTAAGTCTACTAATCTGGCACCTCTGAACCAGGTTACATGAGTCGTTGCGTATGATTGCTTCTTATGTGGCACTTTTCACAGAAGTGTCAGGTGTTCATTGGGGCCTCTTCTGAGATCTGACAAAACCTATGTATTCCAAACTATTCTGTATTTTCCTGAAGATCTGTAGCAGACTTCACACTTTTAATTTCTTGAACTCTATCTTTCTCTTTGAATTTCAGAATACTTAGCCACTTACAGCCTTTTTGAACTTTGGCCGTTTTCTGTTTTTCCTCAGAATTTAGGTTCCATAATTATATTCACAAATTTGTTCTATTCCAGGGAGGTAATTCATTTAGCCTCAAGACCTAGAACTCATCTAAAATAACTAGACATCTAAGAAAACTCATCGTTTTGCATTTTTATCCTTCTGGTCTAAAACTCACTCTCCCTGAGAGAAAAGATGGAAGCAAAATAGAAGTCAGGTAGTTCTCTTTCCTTTCTGTCATCTTTGGCATATCGTCTAGCCAAACTGTGACCCTAACTTTTTCCTATTCTTACTCTAGAGTTTAGACACAAATTGAAAAACAAAAACAAGGGGAAAATGGTTTGTCATTGACATCCAGAATGGGTTATTTTTTTTAATTCTTATCAGGAAACTAGATAATTTTGCGATGGAAAAATTGTTTTTCCTGATGTACCATTAGTATATCTTGGGTTGTATAAAGCATTCTGCTCATGTTTGACCCTTACGTTATTTTGTTTCTTCATTGTCAGCAGTTAATTATTCCTATTGTCAATGACTTTATATTTCATGTCAGTATAAACCAGTTGTCTTGTGTATATATTCTGCCACATAGGTTGTTGTTGGCTTTATGAAACTGTTTTTCTTCCATTTTTAACCTGACAAGTGCTTTGCTTTCTAATTAACAAAGTTCATTTTAACCCTTTTATTTCCCGTAACTCTCATGTGTTCAATTCCCAGTTTCAGCAGCAGATGTCACCAGTGAGCTATTATTGTTAGATTATGAACTGTTTATGTGCTTGCTACTTCTAAGGGACCATTCTTAGCTCTCTTTCACAGTATGAGTCTTTAAAAAGTAGGAACTGGAAAAAAAACTTCAGAGATGATTTTGTCTAAAACTTATTTTATAGATGAAAATTAAATGTAACTGACTTGCTTAAGGAGCTGGAAATAAATCCAGGTTCTCTAAAGTTTAGTTTACAGCTGTTACCCTAGAGTGACAATTTTTAAAGGTAGAAGAAACTTAAAAAGTAACCTATATTCTCGTTTTTTAAAAGATAAGTGGGCCAGGTGTTGGCTTTATGAAACTCTTTTTCTTCCATTTTTAACCTGACAAGTGCTTTCTAATTGACAAAGTGCTGTAATTGACAAAGTGCTATAATCCCAGCACTTTGGGAGGCCAAAGCGAGAAGATTGCCTGAGTCCAGGGGTTTGAGACCAACCTGGGCAACTTGGTAAAACCTCGCCTCTACAATAAATAAAAAAATTAGCCAGGCGTGGTAGCACACGCCTGTAGTTCCGGCTACTTGGAAGGGTCGCCTGAGCCCAGCAGGTTGATGCTGAGGTGGCTGGGAGCATGCCACTGTACTCCAGCCTGGATGACAGAGTGAGACTCCCATTCAAAAAAAAAAAAAGATAAGCAAATTGAATTCTAAAGCAGTTAACAAAGTATCCCATTGTCATAAAGCTAAATGGTAGAATCAAGATTCTAAACAAGTCTCATGATAGACCAGTGCTTCCTTCACCATGCCTTCAGAGCGCTGTCTTCCTAAGTCGCTTTGGTAGAACACTTTTATTATCAAATTTATTTACTTACTTTAATATTTGGGAAGTATCAGTTCAGTGTCCTAAGACATGTTTTCCAAAGCAACATCATTTACTTTCTTAGTGTGCACTCCATTTTATCTTTTATTTTCACCTTTAGATTTCACTTTTTAAATGACTGCAAACATTTGGCCTTCTTGTACCTACTTTAAGGATTTGTATCTTCTTAATTTTTTTAACTTCCTTTTAGTTGTACTTATTGGATGTGAATACTAAAAATTTGTTAGTAAA